ACTGTTCTCCCCCCCGACCACACAGAGATCCAAGGTCATCCATCACCACTTCTGTCGCTCTTCTGCTCGATCCGGATCTTGGCCTTTAGGATCAACAGCAGCAGCAGGATAACAGGCAACGCCCTTGCGCCGACGGCCGTTGGGTAGGGGTATTGGCCGGTACACTTGGTCCATCATATATCGAGAGACTCGCGCATATATAAGGACCTCAACACCCGTCGTTGGCATCACACCACATTCTAAGTGCTACACATCGACAACCACAGGTCGAAGTTTGCAGATCAGTCGTTGACAATCTAAGAAGAAATCACCAAAACAGAAATGGCTTCTTTCAAGTATCTGGTAAGTCTSAAACGTTTTAATTTCGCACTTAAACACACAGACTTCTTGTGTAAATCATCAACGAACCGTTCCTTCGAAACGCCGTARTACAATTTTCAAGTCGTATAATACGAAACATTCGTTGTACGTGTCTCGTTGCTCTTCACGCGATCCTTTGATCGGCGTCTATATCATGGGTCTTGTCAATCAAAAATTCCACGCTGAAGACCATAATATATCATATATATATATATAGTGTCAATTACCACTATTTAATCGCATAATTCTTCGTAAGATTCTTCGGAATGATCGTTATGATAATGTGCTACAACAGTGTTCAGTGGTCACCATGAATATGTTCGCGAGCCACATATATAAATATAATGATATCAATAAGAGTCAAAATATTTGTTAGTACGTTTTATAATTTGATCTACCTAAAACTGTACTTTTATAACACAGATGTAATAAGGACAGTTGACGGCCGATAAACATATCAAATTACGAATTATATTTGTGTATCTAATGAAACCATTTTTTCTTTCATGAATGTATTCGGGAAAAAAAATTAAAATTTTGGTTTTTGTGAATAAGACGTGAGTCGCATACTATGGTATGCCGCAACTCGGYCACCCCCGTACTATACGATAATCGTTCGAAACTTACTGAAAATATTAAATCGTCCTTCTGCGATAACAACCGCGTAGGTTATCAGTTARTAGTTRCCACAATATGATGTAGGGTATCGCAGACCGCGATGATACCATAGAGTAATATGATAGAGAGGTCGTTGAATTTTAACGTGATGTGTGAATGACCTCTGGGCAGGCTAGTCACTTTTATATAAATTATAACAAAGAGAGCGCTGTTGGATTCTGGATAAAATTATTTTACACTATTTATATTTTATTAGAAAATAAAAAATTGAAACACGGGTGATATAACATGTTATGACCTCTCTATATTAATCTATTGGTGATACTTATTCATCATAGATTTTCGATAAAAAACTATATTTACCTAACGATTACGAAAACGATCCGATCGCGTTTATAATCCGAGACAGATATAGAGTTCGCGCCCGATACAATAATATTTCGATCGTCGAGAAAACGTGTAATAGGAGGTACATCTAATGGTATATATATAGGTATATTATATACCAACGATTTAATGGAAAAATATTTAACCTTTCGTATGATATAATATAAAACGTTCGTGCCACAGCGTAGGAAAATTATATACACAGGGGTAGTAGACGAGTGCGGTAACTATACGGTCGTATTACTACTATACGATACGTGTCCGGTGAGCCAAGTGTTCGCAAGTCTAGGAATAAATGAAACTCTCGGAATTAATTGCCCAAATCCATTAATTTTCCGTTCTTATTATAGAACTCGTCGCCACCAGATCGGACCCTCGACAATTTCACTGCGATTCACCGTAGACTTTGTAATATTATGTAGGTACCTACTCTGCAAGTGGGTTAGAAAACCGAAAAGCRCGCCAATTTTAAGTCTGCCGACTGCAGCTAGTGTTGTGCCTATGATATTTAGTATTTAGATACACACTATCGCGACAATATCGGTGGGTTTTAAACTAATATTTATTTTCGTTCCATCGCAGATATTCGTCGCCTTGGTCGCCCTCAGTGTGTACTCCGCTGTCGCCGAAGAAGCACCAAAACCCGAAGAACAAGTCGGCGCTGAATCCTCCAGAGTAAAGAAACACGCATACATCGCTGCCCGTAAGTATAATTTATTATTGCACGTGTCATGTTTTTAACACACGCTGTTCGTCGGACTGTGTTAAAAATTTGAACCGACGAAATCACATCGATCGTTTTTAAAAATAATTTTCATTTTTTTTTATTCTTATATAGCAGCTGTGGCCTACTCCGCTCCGGTCTACCCATACGCTTACTCGGCTTACCCATACTCGTACTCGTACCCGGCCGCCGCATACCCTGCAACTGCTTACGCCGCTTACCCGAGCTACGCTCACGATGACGGCAAGTACTGGCCAGGAAAATACGAAGCAAAGACCTACTACCCAACCTACCCAGCCTACAAGTCTATCTACCCGGTTTACCACTACTGAACACGCTCTCCCGTCAACGCCTTTCAAATCTTCCGGAAACAAACGTAGTTTTTAAGATAATTTTATAAAACTTTTTTTAACAATAAAAATGTGATCTTTTTTTTCAACAAATCGACGAGTCGTTATTATTTACATCTTTCATAGTTTTCCTTGKTATACCTACGTYGTTCGTAACTGCGGAAAATTTACCCACAGACCACCGCCATGACCTCCACAATATTGTTGTTCGTTTATTAGCTAACCAACAAAAAATAAACACATTCAATCGAATCGTGGTTACACATCACCTATAACTTATAAGCATCATTACTTATTAGGTAGTAATTATTGTAATATAGAGCTTAAAAAATTACAATTTTTAACTATACAGAATATTTAGAATAATCCATGTAACATATWTACTATGGCCATTATTATCTATTGTACGGGTTACGATTGTTATGTTGGTTTAATTAGTACGGTTAGAAGTTGAAACGGTTAGTACTATTTATACGGTTGGTTCAAACACTTGTGACAATGATTTATCTCTAAAACTCGAGTAGTCACCCATCTAGGAACTAGTGACACCGGTCGCTACTGACAGTTAGAACACGTTAATGATCTGAAGAATACAATTCATACAAGTCACACAATAATATTGTTTTTTTTTTTTTTAGTATAAAGTTATAATATTATATACCTATATAATATAGTAGTTAGTACCTACGCATACATCGCAAGATATAATGAGATATTTTATGTACTATAAAATAATATATATATTTATATAGTATGATAATGTTTAATGTGTTTTCGATTCCCTCGGAAGAAACAAATATGTTTCGGTAGACCACGTTATAACGAGTTYGACTAATCGCGCCAATAATAATTACGATAGTTGTCGTTCGTACCTAATATATAGGTATATAGATAATAATATATTGAGGATGATGGATTCTTTGTGCTCGCCGCACTTTATTGTTTGATGTTCATGCTTAAACGTGTAGTCTTACCGTCYGTACACAAACGGTATGAACACTAAACCGTATTGTTAATGACGTGCCATCTTTGTGTAGAGTGTCAAATTAAGTTAACCTAAAACTTTCGAGGCGTGCACAGAAAGTCATTTGAAGTTGAAACGCCCAAATTACGTCTTAACTCACTCGAAGTGAAACGTGTATTGTAAAATGTTATAGATTTTGAAACTTTAGTTTTGGAGGAGATTATAGAAAAAAAAAATTATAACCATTAWYTATAATGAAGTGCGTGCCAAGCTCTATATAGTTTGTCGAAGTATATAAAAAAGGAAAAATGTATAATGCAGTGTAAAAACAAAACAAGCTTCAATGATTTCAAACAATCGATAAAATGTGATAGGTACACGTTATTAATCACAGTGTACGAATAATAATATTAATAACTATTATAATAACAAAAATGATTCTAAATTATTTATAAAGACGAAAAAATATATTACTCGTGAAACAATTTTAGTATTGAAAAATAATTTAGAAAAATAAATATTTAAATACAAGTTCAAATAATTTTATTTATAATATGATTAATCAAGTCGTGTTAATATTACTTTTGTAAGTTTAGAGTCCATACTTTAAAATAAGTTAAC